ATGCTGTAGCCTCAGACTGTTGTGTGTCTATCATGCTGTAGCCTCAGACCGTTGTGTGTCTATCATGCTGTAGCCTCAGACTGTTGTGTGTCTAACATGCTGTAGCCTCAGACTGTTGTAGCCTCAGACTGTTGTGTGTCAGACTGTTGTGTGTCTAACATGCTGTAGCCTCAGACTGTTGTGTGTCAGACTGTTGTGTGTCTATCATGCTGTAGCCTCAGACTGCTGTGTGTCTAACATGTTGTAGCCTCAGACTGTTGTGTGTCTATCATGCTGAAGCCTCCGACTGTTGTGTGTCAGAATGTTGTGTGTCTAACATGCCGTAGCCTCCGACTGTTGTGTGTCAGAATGTTGTGTGTCTATCATGCCGTAGCCTCAGACTGTTGTGTGTCTAACATGTTGTAGCCTCAGACTGTTGTGTGTCTAACATGTTGTAGCCTCAGAGTGTTGTGTGTCTAACATGCTGTAGCCTCAGACTGTTGTGTGTCAGACTGTTGTGTGTCTATCATGCTGTAGCCTCAGACTGTTGTGTGTCAGACTGTTGTGTGTCTATCATGCTGTAGCCTCAGATTGTTGTGTGTCTAACATGTTGTAGCCTCAGACTGTTGTGTGTCTAACATGTTGTAGCCTCAGACTGTTGTGTACCAGACTGTTGTGTGTCTAACATGTTGTAGCCTCAGACTGTTGTGTGTCTAACATGTTGTAGCCTCAGACCGTTGTGTGTCTAACATGCTGTAGCCTCAGACTGTTGTGTATTAGACTGTTGTCTGTCTATCCTGTTGTAGCCTCAGACTGTTGTGTGTCTAACATGCTGTAGCCTCAGACTGTTGTGTGTCTATCATGCTGTAGCCTCAGACCGTTGTGTGTCTAACATGCTGTAGCCTCAGACTGTTGTGTATTAGACTGTTGTCTGTCTATCCTGTTGTAGCCTCAGACTGTTGTGTGTCTAACATGCTGTAACCTCAGACTGTTGTGTGTCTAACATGCTGTAGCCTCAAACTGTTGTGAGTCTAACATGCTATAGCCTCCGACTGTTGTGTGTCTATCATGCTGTAGCCTCAGACTGCTGTGTGTCTATCATGCTGTAGCCTCAGACTGTTGTGTGTCTAACATGCTGTAGCCTCAGACTGTTGTGTGTCTAACATGCTGTAGCCTCCGATTGTTGTGTGTCTATCATTCTGTAGCCTCAGACTGTTGTGTGTCTAACATGTTGTAGCCTCAGACTGTTGTGTGTCTAACATGCTGTAACCTCAGACTGTTGTGTGTCTAACATGCTGTAGCCTCAGACTGTTGTGAGTCTAACATGCTGTAGCCTCCGACTGTTGTGTGTCTATCATGCTGTAGCCTCAGACTGTTGTGTGTCTAACATGCTGTAGCCTCAGACTGCTGTGTGTCTATCATGCTGTAGCCTCAGACTGTTGTGTGTCTAACATGCTGTAGCCTCAGACTGTTGTGTGTCTAACATGCTGTAGCCTCCGATTGTTGTGTGTCTATCATTCTGTAGCCTCAGACTGTTGTGTGTCTATCATTCTGTAGCCTCAGACTGTTGTGTGTCTATCATGCTGTAGCCTCAGACTGTTGTGTGTCTAACATGCTGTAGCCTCAGACTGTTGTGTGTCTATCATGCTGTAGCCTCAGACTGCTGTGTGTCTATCATGCTGTAGCCTCAGACCGTTGTGTGTCTATCTCGTGAATCCTCAGACTGTTGTGTGTCTAACATGCTGTAGCCTCAGACTGTTGTAGCCTCAGACTGTTGTGTGTCAGACTGTTGTGTGTCTAACATGCTGTAGCCTCAGACTGTTGTGTGTCAGACTGTTGTGTGTCTATCATGTTGTAGCCTCAGACTGTTGTGTGTCTATCATGTTGTAGCCTCAGACTGTTGTGTGTCTATCATGTTGTAGCCTCAGACTGTTGTGTGTCAGACTGTTGTGTGTCTATCATGCTGTAGCCTCAGACTGTTGTGTGTCTATCATGCTGTAGCCTCAGACTGTTGTGTGTCTAACATGTTGTAGCCTCAGACTGTTGTGTGTCTAACATGTTGTAGCCTCAGACCGTTGTGTGTCTAACATGCTGTAGCCTCAGACTTTTGTGTATCAGACTGTTGTGTGTCTATCCTGTTGTAGCCTCAGACTGTTGTGTGTCTAACATGCTGTAGCCTCAGACTGTTGTGTGTCTAACATGCTGTAGCCTCAGACTGTTGTGTGTCTAACATGCTGTAGCCTCAGACCGTTGTGTGTCTAACATGCTGTAGCCTCAGACTGTTGTGTATCAGACTGTTGTGTGTCTATCCTGTTGTAGCCTCAGACTGTTGTGTGTCTAACATGCTGTAGCCTCAGACTGTTGTGTGTCTAACATGCTGTAGCCTCCGACTGTTGTGTGTCTAACATGCTGTAGCCTCCGACTGTTGTGTGTCTAACATGCTGTAGCCTCAGACTGTTGTGTGTCTAACATGCTGTAGCCTCAGACTGTTGTGTGTCTAACATGCTGTAGCCTCAGACTGTTGTGTGTCTAACATGCTGTAGCCTCAGACTGTTGTGTGTCTAACATGCTGTAGCCTCAGACTGTTGTGTGTCTAACATGCTGTAGCCTCAGACTGTTGTGTGTCTATCATGTTGTAGCCTCAGACTGTTGTGTGTCAGACTGTTGTGTGTCTATCATGTTGTAGCCTCAGACTGTTGTGTGTCAGACTGTTGTGTGTCTATCATGTTGTAGCCTCAGACTGTTGTGTGTCTAACATGCTGTAGCCTCAGACTGTTGTGTGTCTAACATGCTGTAGCCTCCGACTGTTGTGTGTCTATCATTCTGTAGCCTCAGACTGTTGTGTGTCTATCATGCTGTAGCCTCAGACTGTTGTGTGTCTAACATGCTGTAGCCTCAGACTGTTGTGTGTCTATCATGCTGTAGCCTCAGACTGTTGTGTGTCTAACATGCTGTAGCCTCAGACTGTTGTGTGTCTATCATGCTGTAGCCTCAGACTGTTGTGTGTCTTACATGCTGTAGCCTCAGACCGTTGTGTGTCTATCTCGTGAAGCCTCAGACTGTTGTGTGTCTAACATGCTGTAGCCTCAGACTGTTGTGTGTCTATCATGCTGTAGCCTCAGACTGTTGTAGCCTCAGACTGTTGTGTGTCAGACTGTTGTGTGTCTAACATGCTGTAGCCTCAGACTGTTGTGTGTCAGACTGTTGTGTGTCTATCATGTTGTAGCCGCAGACTGTTGTGTGTCTATCATGTTGTAGCCTCAGACTGTTGTGTGTCAGACTGTTGTGTGTCTATCATGCTGTAGCCTCAGACTGTTGTGTGTCTATCATGCTGTAGCCTCAGACTGTTGTGTGTCTAACATGTTGTATCCTCAGACTGTTGTGTGTCTAACATGTTGTAGCCTCAGACTGTTGTGTGTCTAACATGTTGTAGCCTCAGACCGTTGTGTGTCTAACATGCTGTAGCCTCAGACTGTTGTGTATCAGACTGTTGTGTGTCTATCCTGTTGTAGCCTCAGACTGTTGTGTGTCTAACATGCTGTAGCCTCAGACTGTTGTGTGTCTAACATGCTGTAGCCTCAGACTGTTGTGTGTCTAACATGCTGTAGCCTCAGACCGTTGTGTGTCTAACATGCTGTAGCCTCAGACTGTTGTGTACCAGACTGTTGTGTGTCTATCCTGTTGTAGCCTCAGACTGTTGTGTGTCTAACATGCTGTAGCCTCAGACTGTTGTGTGTCTAACATGCTGTAGCCTCAGACTGTTGTGTGTCTAACATGCTGTAGCCTCAGACTGTTGTGTGTCTAACATGCTGTAGCCTCAGACTGTTGAAGCCTCAGACTGTTGTGTATCAGACTGTTGTGTGTCTAACATGCTGTAGCCTCAGACTGTTGTGTGTCTAACATGCTGTAGCCTCAGACTGTTGTGTGTCTATCATGCTGTAGCCTCAGACTGTTGTGTGTCTAACATGCTGTAGCCTCAGACTGTTGTGTGTCTATCATGCTGTAGCCTCCGACTGTTGTGTGTCTATCATGCTGTAGCCTCCGACTGTTGTGTGTCTATCATGCTGTAGCCTCAGACTGTTGTGTGTCTATCATGTTGTAGCCTCAGACTGTTGTGTGTCAGACTGTTGTGTGTCTAACATGTTGTAGCCTCAGACTGTTGTGTGTCTATCATGTTGTAGCCTCAGACTGTTGTGTGTCAGACTGTTGTGTGTCTATCATGCTGTAGCCTCAGACTGTTGTGTGTCTATCATGCTGTAGCCTCAGACTGTTGTGTGTCTAACATGTTGTATCCTCAGACTGTTGTTTGTCTAACATGTTGTAGCCTCAGACTGTTGTGTGTCTAACATGTTGTAGCCTCAGACCGTTGTGTGTCTAACATGCTGTAGCCTCAGACTGTTGTGTATCAGACTGTTGTGTGTCTATCCTGTTGTAGCCTCAGACTGTTGTGTGTCTAACATGCTGTAGCCTCAGACTGTTGTGTGTCTAACATGCTGTAGCCTCAGACTGTTGTGTGTCTAACATGCTGTAGCCTCAGACCGTTGTGTGTCTAACATGCTGTAGCCTCAGACTGTTGTGTGTCTATCCTGTTGTAGCCTCAGACTGTTGTGTGTCTAACATGCTGTAGCCTCAGACTGTTGTGTGTCTAACATGCTGTAGCCTCAGACTGTTGTGTGTCTAACATGCTGTAGCCTCAGACTGTTGTGTGTCTAACATGTTGTAGCCTCAGACTGTTGTGTGTCTAACATGCTGTAGCCTCAGACTGTTGCGTGTCTATCATGCTGTAGCCTCCGACTGTTGTGTGTCTATCATGCTGTAGCCTCCGACTGTTGTGTGTCTATCATGCTGTAGCCTCAGACTGTTGTGTGTCTATCATGTTGTAGCCTCAGACTGTTGTGTGTCAGACTGTTGTGTGTCTAACATGTTGTAGCCTCAGACTGTTGTGTGTCTAACATGTTGTAGCCTCAGACTGTTGTGTGTCAGACTGTTGTGTGTCTATCATGCTGTAGCCTCAGACTCACCACTCGCCCTGGTCCGGCAGGTCGTGGATCCATTTTCCTGAGACCTCTCCGATGAGGCCCAGGTCCTCGTGGGAGCTGGAAGATGATTGGTCGGAGAGGTGAGGTGGGATCAGAGGCGGCCAATCGTCTTCTATCATCACTGTGTCTTCCTGAGGCATGTTGATGGTCCGAGAGAGCTGGAAGGTTGCTGCACATACAGAAGGACCAGGTGTGTACCATCAAGGACTGTGACCATCAGACTCTATAACCAGGTGTCTACAATAAAGTACAGTAGTAAGAGACATAGGGAAAACAAAAATATACAATATGAGCTGCTGTGTCCAAGCTGTAAATGTTTTTGTTATTGAGACTGGACTAAAGAGAGAGACCAGAGAGAGACCAGAGAGAGACCAGAGAGAGAGACCAGAGAGAGACCAGAGAGAGACCAGAGAGAGACCAGAGAGAGAGACCAGAGAGAGACCAGAGAGAGACCAGAGAGAGACCAGAGAGAGACCAGTGAGAGACCAGAGAGAGACCAGAGAGCGAGACCAGAGAGAGACCAGAGAGAGACCAGAGAGAGACCAGAGAGAGACCAGAGAGAGACTAGTGAGAGACCAGAGAGAGACCAGAGAGAGACCAGAGAGAGGCCAGAGAGAGACCAGAGAGAGACCAGAGAGAGACCAGAGAGAGGCCAGAGAGAGAGACCAGAGAGAGAACAGAGAGAGACCAGAGAGAGAGACCAGAGAGAGACCAGAGAGAGACCAGAGAGAGAGACCAGAGAGAGACCAGAGAGAGAGACCAGAGAGATACCAGAGAGAGAGACCAGAGAGAGAGACCAGAGAGAGACCAGAGAGAGACCAGAGAGAGAGACCAGAGAGAGACCAGAGAGAGAGACCAGAGAGAGGCCAGAGAGAGAGACCAGAGAGAGAGACCAGAGAGAGACCAGAGAGAGACCAGAGAGAGACCAGAGAGAGACCAGAGAGAGAGACCAGAGAGAGACCAGAGAGAGAGACCAGAGAGAGACCAGAGAGAGAGACCAGAGAGAGAGACCAGAGAGAGACCAGAGAGAGGGACCAGAGAGAGACCAGAGAGAGACCAGAGAGAGACCAGAGAGAGAGACCAGAGAGAGACCAGAGAGAGAGACCAGAGAGAGGCCAGAGAGAGAGACCAGAGAGAGAGACCAGAGAGAGACCAGAGAGAGACCAGAGAGAGACCAGAGAGAGAGACCAGAGAGAGACCAGAGAGAGAGACCAGAGAGAGACCAGAGAGAGAGACCAGAGAGAGAGACCAGAGAGAGACCAGAGAGAGGGACCAGAGAGAGACCAGAGAGAGACCAGAGAGAGAGACCAGAGAGAGACCAGAGAGAGAGACCAGAGAGAGAGACCAGAGAGAGACCAGAGAGAGACCAGAGAGAGAGACCAGAGAGAGACCAGAGAGAGAGACCAGAGAGAGAGACCAGAGAGAGACCAGAGAGAGGGACCAGAGAGAGACCAGAGAGAGAGACCAGAGAGAGAGACCAGAGAGAGACCAGAGAGAGAGACCAGAGAGAGAGACCAGAGAGAGACCAGAGAGAGACCAGAGAGAGACCAGAGAGAGACCAGAGAGAGACCAGAGAGAGTGTGGGCCTCACGGCTGCCTGAACGACGACAGAATGCTGATGGGGAGGTGGCCCAGCGCTAGTGCTTTAAACACACACCATTGGAACATGTGTTAGCATTAGCATGACGGGAGCTACACACACACACACATGTGTTAGCATTAGCATGACAGGAGCTACACACACACACATGTTATTGTGTATCACTGTGAATGGGAGGCTCTGCTTTGTCATTAGTGAATATGGCTCAAAAGATTCAACATGGATTCAACTGAACATCAGCGTTTACACAGGGCTCAGAGTGATCAGTGTTCTGGCCCTCAGACTCTGCTGACGACTGAGACACAGCCCTCCTCCTCTCCTCGTCCTCTCCTCCTCCTCTACTCCTCCTCCTCCTCCTCCTCTACTCGTCCTCTACTCGTCCTCCTCTCCTCCTCCTCTCTCCGTCATCCTCTCCTTCTCCTACTCTTCTTTTCTTCCTCCTCCTCTCCTCCTCTCCTCCTCCCCCTCTCTTCCTCCTCCTCTCCTCCTCCTCTCTCCCTCATCCTCTCCTTCTCCTCCTCCCCCTCTCTTCCTCCTCCTCTCCTCCTCTCCTCCTCCCCCTCTCTTCCTCCTCCTCTCCCCTCTCTCCCTCGTCCTCTCCTCCTCCCCCTCTCTTCCTCCTCCTCCTCCTCTCCCCCTCCTCTCCTTCACACAGTTGTTGTGTGAAGGAGAGGATGAGGGAGAGAGGAGGAGGTCCTCTCTCCCTCATCCTCTCCTTCTCCTCCTCCCCTCTCTTCCTCCTCCTCCCCTCCCCCTCCTTCCTCCTCCCCCTCTCTCTCCTCCTCTCCTCCCTCCTCCTTCCTCCTCCCCTCTCTCCCCTCCTCCTCTCCTCCTCCTCCTCCTCTCTCTCCCCTCCTCCTCCTCTCCTCCCCCCCCTCCCCTCTCCCCCCCCTCCTCCTCCCTCCCCCTCCTCTCCTTCCTCCTCCTCTCCTCACTCTCTCCTCCTCTCTCCCCTCCTCCTCCCCCCTCCTCTCCTCCTCCCCTCTCTCCCCTCCCCTCCTCCTCCTCTCCTCCTCCTCCTCCTCTCCCCTCCTTCCTCCTCTCTTCCTCCTCCTCCTCCTCTCTCTCCTCCCCCCTCTTCCCCTCCTCCTCCTCTCCCCTCCTCTCCCTCCTCTCTCCTCCTCCCATCCTCTCCCCCCCCCTCCTCCCCCTCCTCCCCCTCTCCCCCTCCTCCTCCTCTCCTCCTCCAGAGACAAAGTCAGGAGTGAATAAGCCTCCATCGTCTGCAGCAGAGGCGCAGGTCTGAAAAGGATCCACTCAACAACAGTTGATTCTGTGTTAGGAACAAAAACTACTGTTGATACAAAAATACATTTAAATGAGTTAAAATCGTTCTGCTCATCAGCACTACACACAGCACTACACACAGCACTACACACAGCACTACACACAGCACTACACACAGCACTACACACAGCACAGATGCAAATATGTGTATGTAGTAATCAAACACACAACTGAGCACGGCTGCTGCGGTGTGTGTTAGCGAGCACACACACAGTTGTGTGTGTGTGTTAGTGAGCACACACAGTTGTTGTGTGTGTGTTAGCGAGCACACACAGTTGTTGTGTGTGTGTTAGCGAGCACACACAGTTGTGTGTGTGTTAGCGAGCACACACAGTTGTTGTGTATGTGTTAGCGAGCACACACAGTTGTTGTGTGTGTGTTAGCGAGCACACACAGTTGTTGTGTGTGTGTTAGCGAGCACACACAGTTGTTGTGTGTGTGTTAGTGAGCACACACACCGTGGCTATAGCACTGTTTTACTTCCGTCCAATTGAGGCGATGTCCAATGTAATGGTTTGTGTGTAATCGCCAACAGCAGACACAGTTTTTATTCTGGCAGGTTCCCAAACATCTGAGAATGGTTCCAGCGGAGCTCGTGGCGAATGAGGAGAGTTTAATCATTGGTAGAAAAAGCATTTCTAGTAAAGACGGTGGAGCTCGAACGTCTATCTTCATTACAAACACCTCGCGCTGCTGTGCGGCTCTGTCCTGGGCGTTTACACAGGCTCTGTCCTGGGCGTTTACACAGGCTCTACCCTGGGCGTTTACACAGGCTCTGTCCTGGGCACGTTTACACAGGCTCTGTCCTGGGCGTTTACACAGGCTCTGTCCTGGGCACGTTTACACAGGCTCTGCCCTGGGCACGTTTACACAGGCTCTGCCCTGGGCGTTTACACAGGCTCTGTCCTGGGCGTTTACACAGGCTCTGTCCTGGGCACGTTTACACAGGCTCTGCCCTGGGCACGTTTACACAGGCTCTGCCCTGGGCGTTTACACAGGCTCTACCCTGGGCGTTTACACAGGCTCTGTCCTGGGCGTTTACACAGGCTCTGTCCTGGGCGTTTACACAGGCTCTGTCCTGGGCGTTTACACAGGCTCTGTCCTGGGCGTTTACACAGGCTCTGTCCTGGGCACGTTTACACAGGCTCTGTCCTGGGCGTTTACACAGGCTCTGTCCTGGGGCGTTTACACAGGCTCTGTCCTCGGCGTTTACACAGGCTCTGTCCTGGGCGTTTACACAGGCTCTGTCCTGGGGCGTTTACACAGGCTCTGTCCTGGGCGTTTACACAGGCTCTGTCCTGGGCGTTTACACAGGCTCTGTCCTGGGCGTTTACACAGGCTCTGTCCTGGGCGTTTACACAGGCTCTGTCCTGGGCGTTTACACAGGCTCTGTCCTGGGCGTTTACACAGGCTCTGTCCTGGGCGTTTACACAGGCTCTGTCCTGGGCGTTTACACAGGCTCTGTCCTGGGCGTTTACACAGGCTCTGTCCTGGGCGTTTACACAGGCTCTGTCCTGGGCGTTTACACAGGCTCTGTCCTGGGCGTTTACACAGGCTCTGTCCTGGGCGTTTACACAGGCTCTGTCCTGGGCGTTTACACAGGCTCTGTCCTGGGCGTTTACACAGGCTCTGTCCTGGGCGTTTACACAGGCTCTGTCCTGGGCGTTTACACAGGCTCTGTCCTGGGCGTTTACACAGGCTCTGTCCTGGGCGTTTACACAGGCTCTGTCCTGGGCGTTTACACAGGCTCTGTCCTGGGCGTTTACACAGGCTCTGTCCTGGGCGTTTACACAGGCTCTGTCCTGGGCGTTTACACAGGCTCTGTCCTGGGCGTTTACACAGGCTCTGTCCTGGGCGTTTACACAGGCTCTGTCCTGGGCGTTTACACAGGCTCTGTCCTGGGCGTTTACACAGGCTCTGTCCTGGGCGTTTACACAGGCTCTGTCCTGGGCGTTTACACAGGCTCTGTCCTGGGCGTTTACACAGGCTCTGTCCTGGGCGTTTACACAGGCTCTGTCCTGGGCGTTTACACAGGCTCTGTCCTGGGCGTTTACACAGGCTCTGTCCTGGGCGTTTACACAGGCTCTGTCCTGGGCGTTTACACAGGCTCTGTCCTGGGCGTTTACACAGGCTCTGTCCTGGGCGTTTACACAGGCTCTGTCCTGGGCGTTTACACAGGCTCTGTCCTGGGCGTTTACACAGGCTCTGTCCTGGGCGTTTACACAGGCTCTGTCCTGGGCGTTTACACAGGCTCTGTCCTGGGCGTTTACACAGGCTCTGTCCTGGGCGTTTACACAGGCTCTGTCCTGGGCGTTTACACAGGCTCTGTCCTGGGCGTTTACACAGGCTCTGTCCTGGGCGTTTACACAGGCTCTGTCCTGGGCGTTTACACAGGCTCTGTCCTGGGCGTTTACACAGGCTCTGTCCTGGGCGTTTACACAGGCTCTGTCCTGGGCGTTTACACAGGCTCTGTCCTGGGCGTTTACACAGGCTCTGTCCTGGGCGTTTACACAGGCTCTGTCCTGGGCGTTTACACAGGCTCTGTCCTGGGCGTTTACACAGGCTCTGTCCTGGGCGTTTACACAGGCTCTGTCCTGGGCGTTTACACAGGCTCTGTCCTGGGCGTTTACACAGGCTCTGTCCTGGGCGTTTACACAGGCTCTGTCCTGGGCGTTTACACAGGCTCTGTCCTGGGCGTTTACACAGGCTCTGTCCTGGGCGTTTACACAGGCTCTGTCCTGGGCGTTTACACAGGCTCTGTCCTGGGCGTTTACACAGGCTCTGTCCTGGGCGTTTACACAGGCTCTGTCCTGGGCGTTTACACAGGCTCTGTCCTGGGCGTTTACACAGGCTCTGTCCTGGGCGTTTACACAGGCTCTGTCCTGGGCGTTTACACAGGCTCTGTCCTGGGCGTTTACACAGGCTCTGTCCTGGGCGTTTACACAGGCTCTGTCCTGGGCGTTTACACAGGCTCTGTCCTGGGCGTTTACACAGGCTCTGTCCTGGGCGTTTACACAGGCTCTGTCCTGGGCGTTTACACAGGCTCTGTCCTGGGCGTTTACACAGGCTCTGTCCTGGGCGTTTACACAGGCTCTGTCCTGGGCGTTTACACAGGCTCTGTCCTGGGCGTTTACACAGGCTCTGTCCTGGGCGTTTACACAGGCTCTCCCTGGGCGTTTACACAGGCTCTGTCCTGGGCGTTTACACAGGCTCTGTCCTGGGCGTTTACACAGGCTCTGTCCTGGGCGTTTACACAGGCTCTGTCCTGGGCGTTTACACAGGCTCTGTCCTGGGCGTTTACACAGGCTCTGTCCTGGGCGTTTACACAGGCTCTGTCCTGGGCGTTTACACAGGCTCTGTCCTGGGCGTTTACACAGGCTCTGTCCTGGGCGTTTACACAGGCTCTGTCCTGGGCGTTTACACAGGCTCTGTCCTGGGCGTTTACACAGGCTCTGTCCTGGGCGTTTACACAGGCTCTGTCCTGGGCGTTTACACAGGCTCTGTCCTGGGCGTTTACACAGGCTCTGTCCTGGGCGTTTACACAGGCTCTGTCCTGGGCGTTTACACAGGCTCTGTCCTGGGCGTTTACACAGGCTCTGTCCTGGGCGTTTACACAGGCTCTGTCCTGGGCGTTTACACAGGCTCTGTCCTGGGCGTTTACACAGGCTCTGTCCTGGGCGTTTACACAGGCTCTGTCCTGGGCGTTTACACAGGCTCTGTCCTGGGCGTTTACACAGGCTCTGTCCTGGGCGTTTACACAGGCTCTGTCCTGGGGCGTTTACACAGGCTCTGTCCTGGGCGCGTTTACAACAGGCTCTGTCCTGGGCGTTTACACAGGCTCTGTCCTGGGGCGTTTACACAGGCTCTGTCCTGGGCGTTTACACAGGCTCTGTCCTGGGCGCGTTTACACAGGCTCTGTCCTGGCGCGTTTACACAGGCTCTGTCCTGGGCGTTTACACAGGCTCTGTCCTGGGCGTTTACACAGGCTCTGTCCTGGGCGTTTACACAGGCTCTGTCCTGGGCGTTTTACACAGGCTCTGTCCTGGGCGTTTACACAGGCTCTGTCCTGGGCGTTTACACAGGCTCTGTCCCTGGGCGTTTACACAGGCTCTGTCCTGGGCGTTTACACAGGCTCTGTCCTGGGCGTTTACACAGGCTCTGTCCTGGGCGTTTACACAGGCTCTGTCCTGGGCGTTTACACAGGCTCTGTCCTGGGCGTTTACACAGGCTCTGTCCTGGGCGTTTACACAGGCTCTGTCCTGGGCGTTTACACAGGCTCTGTCCTGGGCGTTTACACAGGCTCTGTCCTGGGCGTTTACACAGGCTCTGTCCTGGGCGTTTACACAGGCTCTGTCCTGGGCGTTTACACAGGCTCTGTCCTGGGGCGTTTACACAGGCTCTGTCCTGGGCGTTTACACAGGCTCTGTCCTGGGCGCGTTTACACAGGCTCTGTCCTGGGCGTTTACACAGGCTCTGTCCTGGGCGTTTACACAGGCTCTGTCCTGGGCGTTTACACAGGCTCTGTCCTGGGCGTTTACACAGGCTCTGTCCTGGGCGTTTACACAGGCTCTGTCCTGGGCGTTTACACAGGCTCTGTCCTGGGCGTTTACACAGGCTCTGTCCTGGGCGTTTACACAGGCTCTGTCCTGGGCGTTTACACAGGCTCTGTCCTGGGCGTTTACACAGGCTCTGTCCTGGGCGTTTACACAGGCTCTGTCCTGGGCGTTTACACAGGCTCTGTCCCTGGGCGTTTACACAGGCTCTGTCCTGGGCGTTTACACAGGCTCTGTCCTGGGCGTTTACACAGGCTCTGTCCTGGGCGTTTACACAGGCTCTGTCCTGGGCGTTTACACAGGCTCTGTCCTGGGCGTTTACACAGGCTCTGTCCTGGGCGTTTACACAGGCTCTGTCCTGGGCGTTTACACGTTTACACAGGCTCTGTCCTGGGCGTTTACACAGGCTCTGTCCTGGGCGTTTACACAGGCTCTGTCCTGGGCGTTTACACAGGCTCTGTCCTGGGCACGTTTACACAGGCTCTGGTCCTGGGCGTTTACACAGGCTCTGTCCTGGGCGTTTACACAGGCTCTGTCCTGGGCGTTTACACAGGCTCTGTCCTGGGCGTTTACACAGGCTCTGTCCTGGGCGTTTACACAGGCTCTGTCCTGGGCGTTTACACAGGCTCTGTCCTGGGCGTTTACACAGGCTCTGTCCTGGGCGTTTACACAGGCTCTGTCCTGGGCGTTTACACAGGCTCTGTCCTGGGCGTTTACACAGGCTCTGTCCTGGGCGTTTACACAGGCTCTGTCCTGGGCGTTTACACAGGCTCTGTCCTGGGCGTTTACACAGGCTCTGTCCTGGGCGTTTACACAGGCTCTGTCCTGGGCGTTTACACAGGCTCTGTCCTGGGCGTTTACACAGGCTCTGTCCTGGGCGTTTACACAGGCTCTGTCCTGGGCGTTTACACAGGCTCTGTCCTGGGGCGTTTACACACGGCTCTGTCCTGGGCGTTTACACAGGCTCTGTCCTGGGCGTTTACACAGGCTCTGTCCTGGGCGGTTTACACAGGCTCTGCCCTGGGGCGTTTACACAGCTCTGTCCTGGGCGTTTACACAGGCTCTGTCCTGGGCGTTTACACAGGCTCTGTCCTGGGCGTTTTACACAGGCTCTGTCCCTGGGCGTTTACACAGGCTCTGTCCTGGGCGTTTACACAGGCTCTGTCCTGGGCGCGTTTACACAGGCTCTGTCCTGGGCGCGTTGCTCTGATCCTGGGCGCGTTTACACAGGCTCTGTCCTGGGCGTTTACACAGGCTCTGTCCTGGGCGTTTACACAGGCTCTGTCCTGGGTCGTTTACACAGGCTCTGTCCTGGGCGTTTACACAGGCTCTGTCCTGGGCGTTTACACAGGCTCTGTCCTGGGCGTTTACACAGGCTCTGTACTGGGCGCGTTTACACAGGCTCTGTCCTGGGCGTTTACACAGGCTCTTGTCCTGGGCGTTTACACAGGCTCTGTCCTGGGCGTTTACACAGGCTCTGTCCTGGGCGTTTAACAGGCTCTGTCCTGGGCGTTTACACAGGCTCTGTCCTGGGCGTTTACACAGGCTCTGTCCTGGGCACGTTTACACCTGGCTCTGCCCTGGGCGTTTACACAGGCTCTGTCCTGGCGCGTTTACACAGGCTCTGTCCTGGGCGTTTACACAGGCTCTGTCCTGGGCGTTTACACAGGCTCTGTCCTGGGGCGTTTACACAGGCTCTGTCCTGGGCGTTTACACAGGCTCTGTCCTGGGCGTTTACACAGGCTCTGTCCTGGGCGTTTACACAGGCTCTGTCCTGGGCGTTTACACAGGCTCTGTCCTGGGCGTTTACACAGGCTCTGTCCTGGGCGTTTTACACAGGCTCTGTCCTGGGCGTTTACACAGGCTCTGTCCTGGGCGTTTACACAGGCTCTGACCTGGGCGTTTACACAGGCTCTGTCCTGGGCGTTTACACAGGCTCTGTCCTGGGCGCGTTTACACAGGCTCTGTCCTGGGCGTTTACACAGGCTCTGTCCTGGGCGTTTACACAGGCTCTGTCCTGGGCGTTTCCACTAGGCTCTGTCCTGGGCGTTTTACACAGGCTCTGTCCTGGGGCATTTACACAGGCTCTGTCCTGGGCGTTTACACAGGGCTGGGCGTTTACACAGGCTCTGTCCATGGGCGTTTACACAGGCTCTAACATGGGCGTTTACACAGGCTCTGTCCTGGGCGTTTTTACACAGGCTCTGTCCTGGGCGCGTTTACACAGGCTCTGTCCTGGGCGTTTACACAGGCTCTGTCCTGGGCGTTTACACAGGCTCTGTCCTGGGCGTTTACACAGGCTCTGTCCTGGGCGTTTACACAGGCTCTGTCCTGGCGTTTACACAGCTCTGTCTGGGCGTTTACACAGGCTCTGTCCTGGGCGTTTACACAGGCTCTGTCCTGGGCGTTTACACAGGCTCTGTCCTGGGCGTTTACACAGGCTCTGTCCTGGGCGTTTACACAGGCTCTGTCCTGGGCGTTTACACAGGCTCTGTCCTGGGCGTTTACACAGGCTCTGTCCTGGGCGTTTACACAGGCTCTGTCCTGGGCGTTTACACAGGCTCTGTCCTGGGCGTTTACACAGGCTCTGTCCTGGGCGTTTACACAGGCTCTGTCCTGGGCGTTTACACAGGCTCTGTCCTGGGCGTTTACACAGGCTCTGTCCTGGGCGTTTACACAGGCTCTGTCCTGGGCGTTTACACAGGCTCTGTCCTGGGCCGTTTACACAGGCTCTGTCCTGGGCGTTTACACAGGCTCTGTCCTGGGCGTTTACACAGGCTCTGTCCTGGGCGTTTACACAGGCTCTGTCCTGGGCGTTTACACAGGCTCTGTCCTGGGCGTTTACACAGGCTCTGTCCTGGGCGTTTACACAGGCTCTGTCCTGGGCGTTTACACAGGCTCTGTCCTGGGCGTTTACACAGGCTCTGTCCTGGGCGTTTACACAGGCTCTGTCCTGGGCGTTTACACAGGCTCTGTCCTGGGCGTTTACACAGGCTCTGTCCTGGGCGTTTACACAGGCTCTGTCCTGGGCGTTTACACAGGCTCTGTCCTGGGCCGTTTACACAGGCTCTGTCCTGGGCGTTTACACAGGCTCTGTCCTGGGCGTTTACACAGGCTCTGTCCTGGGCGTTTACACAGGCTCTGTCCTGGGCGTTTACACAGGCTCTGTCCTGGGCGTTTACACAGGCTCTGTCCTGGGCGTTTACACAGGCTCTGTCCTGGGCGTTTACACAGGCTCTGTCCTGGGCGTTTACACAGGCTCTGTCCTGGGCGTTTACACAGGCTCTGTCCTGGCGCGTTTACACAGGCTCTGTCCTGGGCGTTTACACAGGCTCTGTCCTGGGCGTTTACCGTTTACACAGGCTCTGTCCTGGGCGTTTACACAGGCTCTGTCCTGGGCGTTTACACAGGCTCTGTCCTGGGCGTTTACACAGGCTCTGTCCTGGGCGTTTACACAGGCTCTGTCCTGGCGTTTACACAGGCTCTGTCCTGGGCGTTTACACAGGCTCTGTCCTGGGCGTTTACACAGGCTCTGTCCTGGGCGTTTACACAGGCTCTGTCCTGGGCGTTTACACAGGCTCTGTCCTGGGCGTTTACACAGGCTCTGTCCTGGGCGTTTACACAGGCTCTGTCCTGGGCGTTTACACAGGCTCTGTCCTGGGCGTTTTACACAGGCTCTGTCCTGGGCGTTTACACAGGCTCTGTCCTGGGCGTTTACACAGGCTCTGTCCTGGGCGTTTACACAGGCTCTGTCCTGGGCGTTTACACAGGCTCTGTCCTGGGCGTTTACACAGGCTCTGTCCTGGGCGCGTTTACACAGGCTCTGTCCTGGGCGTTTACACAGGCTCTGTCCTGGGCGTTTACACAGGCTCTGTCCTGGGCGTTTACACAGGCTCTGTCCTGGGCGTTTACACAGGCTCTGTCCTGGGCGTTTACACAGGCTCTGTCCTGGGCGTTTACACAGGCTCTGTCCTGGGCGTTTACACAGGCTCTGTCCTGGGCGTTTACACAGGCTCTGCCTGGGCGTTTACACAGGCTCTGTCCTGGGCGTTTACACAGGCTCTGTCCTGGGCGTTTACACAGGCTCTGTCCTGGGCGTTTACACAGGCTCTGTCCTGGGCGTTTACACAGGCTCTGTCCTGGGCGTTTACACAGGCTCTGTCCTGGGCGTTTACACAGGCTCTGTCCTGGGCGTTTACACAGGCTCTGTCCTGGGCGTTTACACAGGCTCTGTCCTGGGCGTTTACACAGGCTCTGTCCTGGGCGTTTACACAGGCTCTGTCCTGGGCGTTTACACAGGCTCTGTCCTGGGCGTTTACACAGGCTCTGTCCTGGGCGTTTACACAGGCTCTGTCCTGGGCGTTTACACAGGCTCTGTCCTGGGCGTTTACACAGGCTCTGTCCTGGGCGTTTACACAGGCTCTGTCCTGGGCGTTTACACAGGCTCTGTCCTGGGCGTTTACACAGGCTCTGTCCTGGGCGTTTACACAGGCTCTGTCCTGGGCGTTTACACAGGCTCTGTCCTGGGCGTTTACACAGGCTCTGTCCTGGGCGTTTACACAGGCTCTGTCCTGGGCGTTTACACAGGCTCTGTCCTGGGCGTTTACACAGGCTCTGTCCTGGGCGTTTACACAGGCTCTGTCCTGGGCGGTTTACACAGGCTCTGTCCTGGGCGTTTACACAGGCTCTGTCCTGGGCGTTTACACAGGCTCTGTCCTGGGCGTTTACACAGGCTCTGTCCTGGGCGTTTACACAGGCTCTGTCCTGGGCGTTTACACAGGCTCTGTCCTGGGCGTTTACACAGGCTCTGTCCTGGGCGTTTACACAGGCTCTGTCCTGGGCGTTTACACAGGCTCTGTCCTGGGCGTTTACACAGGCTCTGTCCTGGGCGTTTACACAGGCTCTGTCCTGGGCGTTTACACAGGCTCTGTCCTGGGCGTTTACACAGGCTCTGTCCTGGGCGTTTACACAGGCCAGACTGAGGCTGTAGACCCAGGACTGAGGCTGTAGACCTAGGACTGAGGCTGTAGACCCAGGACTGAGGCTGTAGACCCAGGACTGAGGCTGTAGACCCAGGACTGAGGCTGTAGACCCAGGACTGAGACTGTAGACCCAGGACTGAGGCTGTAGACCTAGGACTGAGGCTGTAGACCCAGGACTGAGGCTGTAGACCCAGGACTGAGGCTGTAGACCCAGGACTGAGACTGTAGACCCAGGACTGAGGCTGTAGACCTAGGACTGAGGCTGTAGACCCAGGACTGAGGCTGTAGACCCAGGACTGAGGCTGTAGACCCAGGACTGAGACTGTAGACCCAGGACTGAGGCTGTAGACCCAGGACTGAGGCTGTAGACCCAGGACTGAGGCTGTAGACCCAGGACTGAGGCTGTAGACCCAGGACTGAGGCCGTAGACCCAGGACTGAGGCTGTAGACCCAGGACTGAGGCTGTAGGACTGAGGCCGTAGACCCAGGACTGAGGCTGTAGACCCAGGACTGAGGCTGTAGACCCAGGACTGAGGCTGTAGACCCAGGACTGAGGCTGTAGACCCAGGACTGAGGCTGTAGGACTGAGGCTGTAGACCCAGGACTGAGGCTGTAGACCCAGGACTGAGGCTGTAGACCCAGGACTGAGGCTGTAGACCCAGGACTGAGGCTGTAGACCCAGGACTGAGGCTGTAGACCAGGACTGAGGTTGTAGACCCAGGACTGAGGCTGTAGACCCAGGACTGAGGTTGTAGACCCAGGACTGAGGCTGTAGACCCAGGACTGAGGCTGTAGACCCAGGACTGAGGTTGTAGGCCCAGGACTGAGATTGTAGACCCAGGACTGAGGTTGTAGACCCAGGACTGAGGCTGTAGACCCAGGACTGAGGTTGTAGGCCCAGGACTGAGGTTGTAGACCCAGGACTGAGGTTGTAGACCCAGGACTGAGGCTGTAGACCCAGGACTGAGGCTGTAGACCCAGGACTGAGGTTGTAGACCCAGGACTGAGGTTGTAGACCCAGGACTGAGGTTGTAGACCCAGGACTGAGGCTGTAGACCCAGGACTGAGGCTGTAGACCCAGGACTGAGGTTGTAGACCCAGGACTGAGGCTGTAGACCCAGGACTGAGGTTGTAGACCCAGGACTGAGGCTGTAGACCCAGGACTGAGGCTGTAGACCCAGGACTGAGGCTGTAGACCCAGGACTGAGGTTGTAGGCTGCCTTAAAATGTTGATTCTAAACAATTAGAATTGTATAGTGTAATCAAGTTATTTGCCTGTGTTTATTCATCCATTCCATCCATTTTCTTCCGCTTCATCCGTTGCCGGGTCGCGGGGGCAGCAGTCTAAGCAGAGACGCCCAGACTTCCCTATCCACACACACTTCCTCCAGCTCGTCCGGGGGGACCCAAAGGCGTTCCCAGGCCAGCTGAGAGACATAGTCCCTCCAGCGTGTCCTGGGTCTTCCCCGGGGCCTCCTCCCGGTGGGACGTGCCCGGAACACCTCCCCAGGGAGGCGTCTAGGAGGCATCCGGAACAGATGCCCGAGCCACCTCAACTGGTTCCTCTCCACGTGGAGAAGCAGCGGCTCTACTCCGAGCTCCTCCAGTGTGACTGAGCTCCTCACCCTATCTCTAAGGGAGCAGCGGCTCTACTCCGAGCTCCTCCTGTGTGACTGAGCTCCTCACCCTATCTCTAACCCTAACCCTATGTCAGTCTGTAAACACGGGGCCTATTCCTTTATGATATGCCCTTTGATCAAATACAAATACATGTTAATATTATATAGATCAAAGTTTAGACGTAGATGTTGAAATCTTACCTCTACAGCTTTAACAAATGAAGAACAATCGTCCCCGAAGAAATGTGGAAGTCCAAGTAGAAGGACGGCCCTCATAAAAGAGTGAGTTGTCAAGAGTTCTCCTAGAAAGAAAGAAACAATTATTATAAATCCTCAAACTGAAAAGCATTATGTAATCTGGATCAAATTTCCCCCACAACTGTAAAGACGGTAGTTAAGAGTTTCTATTACTGAGGACAACCATTTACTCAGAGAACTTGGGTTTATGATCAACGGCTGCTGCAAATTTGATTCATTTAGGTCGACTAATCCAGTCATATGCCTGGATATAAACATTTAATTCTGCAGATTGAGTTTTAGAAAGAGGTAAACATTAGGTCAAATTGAAAAAACAAAAGTTGGTGGCCAGGTGGGGGATGTAACATGGAATGATTGAATTAGACTTAAGTTATTTTACTAAGCAGATTAGTGTAATGATTGGAAAAGATTTGGAGATGTAAATAAATGAAACCAAAACCATTTCCATATTCAAAAAGTATAAAAATATGCACAGCATTAGAATACAATCACAGTCAGCATGTTAATCTCTGAACAGAAGCAAAAGTTGGCAAGTTGAGTCACTAATTGGAAAAAGGTCAACATTTGTTGAAATGGGTTCAAAGCATTGAAAAGCTTACATTACAGCAGTGCATGGAATGTGTACAAGATTTCAGAGTTCAAAAACGCAACACTGCAATTTTGGGGAACATTTATGAGTTTAAAGGTAAAGGTTCACTTTTATTAAGCCCATGTTTTGGGCCCTGATTTAAAATCAAGAATAGATTTACACTTGGGAAGTTTGACCCAAAAACATACAAATCAAAATGTGTGCATTATTTGAATCACTTACATCAGGCTGTAGGAGACTGGCCCAGAACGGCACACTTAGGGCTTCAAGAAACGGTTTAAGTCTTGGTCAAATCCAGAGATGAGCGTTTCTCTGAGATTGACAGATGCAAACTCCAATCTAAAAATGGGAGGCAATGGACACATGAGTGTAAACTACATAACCTTAAAGCAGGAGTTAAAGCAAAAAAAAAAGATTTGACTGAAGATTTTTGCATGGAAATGTATCACAAGTAAATCACAGTAATATGCAGGACCAAGTTATATTTGTAATTACAATATATTATTGTATAATAGATTGTATATTGAATACAGCTCAAATGAATTCTTCAAAGATATACAGTGTATTTTGATATGAAATATAAGTGGATCAAGCAACAAGTAAACTTTTTGACAGAATATTAGTGAGAGTAGCTTTACTTGAGGCGATATGGAGCGTCAACACTTTGGCTCTGTCCTCGTCAAAATATTGCAAAAGGACGATAACATTCTGTCCACATTTGTTTGTGGACACGTCAATATTTAAGAAAAAGGTTTCCCTATCAAGTTTGAGTGCACAGTGCACTTCGATCAACTGCAAATGATTTAAATAAATGTACCAGCGGTAGTGATATTCTGAACGTTATTTTCTGCGATAAAGCCACAGACACGGTCTAGTGTCAGTTGTTGCTGATGCACCAGGTAAAGATGAAGTGTCGGAAAGTGCACAAACAGCTGCTTTGGCGAATCAGAGCAAATATGTGTTCTCCATTCATTCAACCATCTCCAGTCTATGTTTTTCATCTCTGCCTCATATGCATGTGAAAACTTAAGAGATCAAAGTGTTTCAAAGTTGTGATTGTAATTAATGATATTTATGTTGTCACACATATCTTCCAAGCACATAGCACTTCGTAGCACCTCACATGGTCCAAGAAAAAGGCTGTGAAAGGTTTCTGAAAACTGTGACCAATATGAAAGTACAAAGCACAGTATGACCTTTGTCTGTGCACTTATAAATACTTATAAATACTTATAAATACTTATAAATACACAGCATGATGGAACAAAGAGGAAATATACCTAAAATTAGTCCTTTAATAGAAAGTTTCCTTTTGGTCTTTATTGTAGATAATCCACAACAAAACTGTCCATCTAGCAGTAAAGGCTAAATGTGAATTATACAAGAAATATAATAGAATTAACTTCAGAGTGTAAAATGTGGATTTCTTGCAACAAGCATACTACTGGAGCTATTCTGAATGGCTAAACAAACAGAACAGATGCCATGTATAAAACACATTTTGTTCAGACCTGATTCAAGTCGTCCAGGAGCCTCGACCAGTGGACAGTGTACGCTGTACTCCTGCGGTAGAAAATAAGAGGCATTAAAATGAGTCCATCACGTGAAAACAAAATGAGCTTTACGTTGCACAATGCTCAGATGGGTCTAAAACTGCTGGTTAACATTAGCGACATGCTATGCTGCTAAATGAGTAGCTACCAGTCAAATGTAAAGTTGTACATCGCTTTTTTTGTCGTATGTGCAAATAAATCAATACCTGCGCAGGCTCCACTGGAGAAACCGGTCTCTCCTGAGCAGCCTCCGCACACACACACACAAGTACATGTCGTGAGTGAAGAGCCGGGTCCCGCTGGTCCCGAGCGAGTGCTGTAGTCCAGCGGCCCCCGGGGACCGTGCGTGTATCAGCGGCCACTGTGTGCATCTCATTCACCGAGACAAACAGACTGTAACGGAAAGTATAACGGATTAGATCTGTACAGCGTATCCGTTAGGACTCAGTAATGCAGTAAACACATGTCACTCCCGGTGTGTGAAGAAGGACCAAACAAACAGCACAGTATCTTTGAACGTAGTACAACGAACGTCAAAGAAATAGTCCCACTATAAACACAAACCCACTCAAAATTGAATAGAAAGTTGAATACCCACATATATAGCACCAACACAGATATTTAGCGTATGATTATGTGACCTATCAACAAAAAACTCGAGAAGTTTCTTTTCTCTTTCATTGCTTTGAAGGCACGAACAACACGGTCCACCGCCGCCATTCTCGCAGGTTCACGACGACACAGCCTATCGCTAAGGCTGATATCTTAGATTATTTTGCAAGACATACAGCTGTCTACAACAGATCAAAGAGTTTACTTACCAAAGAAAGATGTGAGGAAGATGCCAAAAGTCCCAACAGAAGATGTAGATGAAGTCCCAACCTCTGCTACAACCTCTGCTACAACCTCTGCTACAACCTCTGCTACAACCTCTGCTACAACCTCTGCTACAACCTCTGCTACAACCTCTGCTACAACCTCTGCTACAACCTCTGCTACAACCTCTGCTACAACCTCTGCTACAACCTCTGCTACAACCTCTGCTACAACCTCTGCTACGACCTCTGCTACAACCTCTGCTACAACCATGCGGTCATGGCCGCGAAGAGGCAGCTTCCGTGTGACGCAGACGTGATGACGTCCTCAATTAAAAGTGCTTACCAAGAATAATCAAGTCAATTAACTCAACAAGTTATCTTGAATTGGATTTTTACGTTTACTGCTGAAGAGTTGTTTCAATTCATGATTTCGATTTGTGATAGCTTTTTGGGAAAAACATGCTGATTTAACTCAATATTATGGGTTGAGATAACTAAAAGTCAAAACAAGAATTTACAGTGTAGTCCTGGTACCTGTAGTCCTGGTACCTGTAGTCCTGGTACCTGTAGTCCTGGTACCTGTAGTCCTGGTACCTGTAGTCCTGGTACCTGTAGTCTATTGCAGAGCCTCGTCATTCATTCAAGGATTTTCATTTCTGTCGATAACCTCAGACTTCCTCTTTTCTCCAGAGTTAGAGCCCCCCCTGCCCCCCCTGCCCCCCCCCATGACCGCTGAACATGGATCTATGATAATAACTGGGTAGAGTGTCACTAGTTTACAGCTGTCCCACCCCCGGCCACAGGGGGGTGTTAGTGTCCCTTGTTGTCCTGTGCACGTGCATGAGAGCCACACATGCGTATTTGGCCCAAAGCATCATGGGAGATAATCCACTGCACAGAACCGGGAGGACCAGACGATGCCCAAATATGGGCGAGTTCTGCTAATCTCCCAGTCTCTGTGAAGTCCCATGAACCACTGAACACAAGCCGTTCATCTGAACAGGAGCCATCTTGGATCAGCGGGGCTTGGTCTGACGCAGAGGCAGCAGGAGAAACACTGACTCTGCTGTAGTCTCCTCCTCCTCCTCCATCAAACACCTCCTCCTCCTCCATCAAACACCTCCTCCTCCTCCATCAAACACCTCCTCCTCCTCCATCAAACACCTCCTCCATCAAACACCTCCTCCTCCTCCCCCACCACCTCCTCCGGCGTTTCATTTAACAAAGAAGCAGCTCCCGCTCTGCGACCGGAGAGGCAGAAAAAGAGATCAGAGGAGACAAGATTTCCGGCAAATTGGACAAACTCGCGGCAAACCACTTTAATATCTCTTTCAAAGCACACGGCAAATGGAAATGTGGAAACGGAGAGCGCTCGGAGTTAACCGGGGGGGGGAGCGCTCGGAGTTAACCGGGGGGGGGGGGGGGGGGGATTTGTCACGGAAGTTCAAAGCAGGAGAGGAGCAGTATCTAGATTATCTGGAGGGGGAGAAGGGAGATTCACACCCCCTTCTCACCGATATGTGGGGAACAGGGAGATGGGATACTTAGGAGGAGGGGGAGGGGGGGAGGGGGGGAGGGGGAGGGGGGGAGAGAGAAGTAGGTTAGGAGAAAAGTTGAGGATAATGGAGGTGATGGCAGCTGTAACTTTTGAACATTTGGATTCATTTTTCTCAACAGTTATTTCATTTCAATGTATTTATGTATCGCCATCTGAGTCCGCCTGGGTCCGCCTGGGTCCACCTGGGTCCGCCTGGGTCCACCTGGGTCCACCTGGGTCCACCTGGGTCCGCCTGGGTCCGCCTGGGTCCACCTGGGTCCGCCTGGGTCCGCCTGGGTCCGCCTGGGTCCACCTGGGTCCACCTGGGTCCACCTGGGTCCACCTGGGTCCACCTGGGTCCGCCTGGGTCCGCCTGGGTCCACCTGGGTCCGCCTGGGTCCGCCTGGGTCCGCCTGGGTCCACCTGGGTCCACCTGGGTCCACCTGGGTCCGCCTGGGTCCGCCTGGGTCCACCTGGGTCCGCCTGGGTCCTTGGTTGATCCCAGTTGGACTGACCCTGTGTCTGTTGCAGTGTCCAGATGACGTCCAATGACCTCGAGCGGATACAGCGTCTGAGGCAGGAGTTCCAGCAGGCGCTACGGGAGGACGAGCCCTGGGTCAGTGTCCTACTACTGTCTCCTACTGTCCTCTACAGTCTCCTACTGTCTCCTACTGTCTCCTACTGTCCTCTACAGTCTCCTACTGTCTCCTACTGTCCTCTACTGTCTCCTACTGTCTCCTACTGTCCTCTACAGTCTCCTACTGTCCTCTACAGTCTCCTACTGTCTCCTACTGTCCTCTACAGTCTCCTACTGTCTCCTACTGTCCTCTACTGTCTCCTACTGTCTCCTACTGTCCTCTACTGTCTCCTACTGTTCCCTACAGTCTCCTACTGTCCTCTACTGTCCTCTACTGTCTCCTACTGTCTCCTACTGTCCTCTACAGTCTCCTACTGTCTCCTACTGTCCTCTACTGTCTCCTACTGAGTGTTAGCATTAGCAGCCCTCTGTTTGTGCCTGTGTTAGCATTAGCAGTCCTAGCGTTGCCGTTAGCTATAGCGGCGTGACGCGCGGTGACAGTCTGAGGCTAATCTGTGTTTGTCTTTGGGATTATTTACGGAGCCTTTAATCCTCGTCACTCGTTCACGACATAATCCTCTGAAGCAGAAACTATTGTCTCCCACTTCA